GCCTGGAAAGAGAATTCCATTCCTTTACATGACAAACAGTTTGGGAAGTCCTCTTCTTCCTGTTCCTATAAAGCAGATGCTCTTTTTTCTCTCTAATAAATGTTTCTATTGTCTGTCTTTGCATGCCCTTCCTTTTATAATAGTTAAAAGTCTTTCACTCTTTCAGCTCTTTTCCATTTCTGCTCACACTACACTAACCACAGTTCCCGTGAAAGAACACATCATTCTTCTTCCACAAAGGTAAAGATGCAAGTGTCCTCGCCTAGTCAGGCAGTAGGCATCTACTCCCTCTTGCATTTATTTTCCACAATAAAAAGACTTACTTATCCTTGAGATATGTTTCTCAGATCAGCTTCTTCCTTTGCATTTAAACCTCCTAACCTTTCCTTGCATCTAAGTGGCTGGGAATGCACTACTTCACTTCAAAGTAATTTCATTTTAATGAGCACACCACTCTGAGTGTACATTTTCAAAACAAAAACCATTCCAAAAGAGTGTATCGAGAGTGCTTTCTTCATTAAAATCAAAACACTTTGAACTGAAGGAGCACACTCCAAGACGTTTTGATGCCAAGGTAGTGAAGCCAGTTTTAATCCATGCATATAAGGGATGTGCAGGAGATTAGCCAGATCTTCAATTACTCTTCCTAAGAAACTCTGTAATGTACTAATATGCCTGCCTGTGCCGATGATCACTGTTGGGTACATACCAAATAAAATAAAAAATCACTCACTTGCACATCGCAAATCTGCAGATCCTTAAATTTATACTAATTTGGGCAATACTTGTATGTAAATATTGTGGCATTCACAGACAATCTTTTGAAAGCTGAAATTCTTCCGTTCATAATAAAGCACTTGATTGTTCCCAACCACGCATTTTCTTGAGAAAAAATATGTAGATATAAAAACGAGAAGAAAGTTTGTGACACACTGTAGGATTCATCTGACTAGGACATCAATGTTTTTGATGTTTTTATCTGAACTACTCATTCTGGCTTCCTCTATGGCACCTGAAGAGAGACACTTTCACAGAGGGCATGTGATTTACTTTGTCCTGAAGGAGATGTGTAAAAGTGGCCTGAAAGTGCCTATTTCTTTCCACTGACTCTAAAGGGCAGACAAATGTGGAAAGCTCTTTTGCTGTATCAGAGGGAGAATGCCTACATTTAGATATCTAATGGTAGGGGTGATGGATCCTCTCTGCAGGGTGAAAGTCAGGACATACGTACTTGTGCTGATAACATAGTTGTGCTCCAAAACATCCATCTCCAATGATCATAATGAATACAAAGTCTAAATAAAAGAGAACACGAAAAAGACCTGGCATTTTAGCCTTCACTTTTAATAGCTTTGTTTTTTTGGCTGTTTACCTCTGTCTACACTTTTTAACTATTTGAATGGACACACATTTTTCTAAGGGCTGATTGTTTCTTGGAATGTGCACAATACAAAAAATAATTGATGTAATGAACTTAGGAAGGTGAAGATGTTACTCAAAAGATAAATTTTCCAAACGAATTGAATTCCTTGAATGATAATGTGTATATTTTTGCAAACTGGTTTCTTGAAACACAATACTCTAGTGTTTCACTAGTAAGATGGAAATGAAATTTAAAAGAAATACTTTTATTTTACGATGTGAAAAAACTTGGAGTTTATATTTTCCAAGGTATCGTCAAGTTCTGCTGGTTCAGTTTTGTGGCTGCATAGACTAGCATCTACTGTAAAATGAATAGACAAAAAAGAACATACCACAATATATTGTATTTTACTGGGTGTACAGTTGCAAACATTTATGCCTGCAGTGTTTTTGTGGTTAGAGATGTTTGTGGGTTCATAATTACACTTCTGACATTAGAAGCTGGGTTGGATCTTGGCTGAAAATGCGTCACTGGACATCTTCAGGCATTCTGATAAGATGACAAATTCTCTAACTGTTGCATAAGCTATTTCCATTATTATGTTCTTAATAATTACTGACCTTAAATTTAAAAAAAAAGGAAGAATTGTGTTAACACAGGTCACAACTGCCTATGTGTGTTTTACTTACATGGTAGTTGATAATTAGTGTCTAACTACACTATAAAAATAATGGTAGTATGCTAATTCCAGAGAAAGCACCTGGAAGCATAAAGTGGAAAACAGGAGAGGAACCCAGCTCCTTGTACTGTGTAGGACACAAAAAAGGAGTCCTTCACTGCCTGTCTTGGGACAACTCTGTTTCTTAGAGAAGTGAAAGGCAAACCACCCCATATAGCAGAAATCCATGTGCTTTTATGTTGGACTTCGGGTGGGAAGCAGTACGAGCTGATAGGAGAAGGAGGCTTCCTGCTGCTCAGGATCTTCTCCTTTAGAGACGGTCTAGTCATGCTCTGTCTGGAAGAATGTGGACAGAATTATCTTGAATGTCCTGCTGCAGGTTTTTTTGGCTCCATAATGTCTGGAAAAGTCTTGTCTTTTGTAAAGCCTTGAAATCTTCTAAAATTCTATTGTACTGGACATCAAAAATATTTTGAAAATATTCTGTTGCCCTCCCTTTTTTATTTTGTTTATGGCAGCAATAAAAGTTAATCCAGCAGGTCAGTTCTAGACAATAGCATTTTGGGACACTACTTCAGCCCTTGCTTCTTACACACTGCATACATAAAATCACAGTCACATTCTTTATCTGGCTGGATCTGCGTATCTGGGTTTCTTCTGTACACAATTTGTTTCATGTTCCTATCTTCAATTCATTGCAGCACATCCTTATCAAAAGATAATGCTTTATAATCAAGTAGTGTTGAGAACCACAAAGGTAGACACAAAAGCCAAATTAGTTCCTTTCATTTCTGAGCTGCCCTAATATCTGTTTTTTTTCCTAATACATGGAATTGTGATGGGTTCAGTTAGGTTTAGTAATGTAACTCTTTGTAGCTTTTTGGACCAAAACCAGCTTTCTAAACCTAACATGTCTACCAAGTTAGATGGGACTAAATATTTACTACCATATTTTATTAAATTTTACTATATTTTCTACTACTCACTTGGTAGTCTCTTCTGACCATAAAAACGATACACATAACGATGGTTCAGATTGGGTGGCTATATCTCATTTTAGAGATAAACTCAAAATATGGTACAAAAACAGTTAAAAAATTAACCCTAAAGGAGTAGCACAATATGCTTACAGAATTTCAGGCACATTTTCCAAAGTGCCCTCAGGCTTTGGAACTCTTTGTAAGAGGGAGTAATTATTGTTTCAATTTTTACAATTTAACTAAGGTCTCCTTTTTTTAGGTCTCCTAGATGGCCTTTGTCTCCGATGGAAAGAAAGAAGCATCACCAGAGAGCCATTTAGACCTCAGGTGAAGTGAATGGTATGGTGGAAGGTATGTCTTTTTTCTCAAGGAACTGTGAACCTTCCCTAGATATTTCACCCATATGCCTAATATTAACCAGGCTGGATTTGAGTCTCTGTATCTGACAAAAAGTATCTGAAAGACAATATTGTTGATAGGTAGGAGAGGACACTACTGGAAGCAGACTTAAGCTATCCTGCTTCTGGGGTTGCATTAAATTGAAGAACTTCTGTGCACCACCTAGGATCTATCAACTAATATACCTGAGCTGAGGGCAGTAACTTCTTTAATGATGAGCATTGAGTGGGCAAGCACTTACACTATCTTTTAGACTTAATTCTTAAAAATTATCCAGGGATTATACGTATTCATTTGAACAACAAACAAAAAGTGGACACTATTTGGTAACTTGCAAAGCCCCACACTTCATTTTTCAATTAATTTTTTCAGTTAAATTATGTCTTGTGAAAACCTATGATACTACACACGCAATGTAAACAGCAAGGGAAATATTTCACTTTCAGGGCTTGTCAAGGCATCTCTTGAAAAGAAACAAAGTTCTGTTCTTCTGCCCAAACTCGCCGGTCGATACACACATAAAACTTCAATCCACTTTAAAAGAAATATCCAAAAGTACCCCCTCTTCTGTGAATTATGGGCTACAATCCCATGTCTAACAATTGAAAAATCAGGTAAAGTTACTGGTTCCCTA